AAGCACTTTATATGATTCTATGCTCTCTCTTCTCTTAGCATATCGTTGTCTTCTTTAAAAAATATTTTAGTGGTTGCCCCAGAATTTGTAATATCCTTTTATAACTAATCTAAGTCCACTTTCCTATAACATATACCACTTCATAGGTAGTGCAGGTACCTTATAACAGAGTTCTCAATTCCACCCTCTTGTCCCTTGTAACATTGATGTCATTCATTTAACTTATCCATATATTGTAATCACCCAATACATCATCATTAATATTATTAGATCAATTGAGAATAAAAAATAAAAGTTTCATTTTACCTTCATCTATTCCTTCTCTCCCCTCTTTGTACGTAGATCCAAGTTATCATTTTCCTTCTCCCTGAAGAACTTCTTTTAACTTTTATTTCAGGGCAGGTCTGCTGCTGATGAATTCTCTGGTTTGTCTAAGAAAGTTTTTATTTCTCCTTCACTTTTGAAGGATAATTTCACTAGATATAAAGCTCTAGGATGGTGGTTTTTTTTTTCCTTTCAACAGTTTAAATATTTTACTCTGTTCTCTTCTTGTTTGCATGGCTTATGACAAGCCCATAATTCTTATCCTTGTTCCTCTAGCAGTAGGATGTTTATTTTCCTCTGGATTCTTTTAAGAGTTTATCTTTCAGGTTCCTACAGCTTTAATAAAATATGTCCAGGTATAGACTTCCTTAGTATTTATACTGCTTGGTGTTCTCTGAGCTTCCACAATCTATGGTTAATCTATCATTAATTTTGGAAAATCTTAGGCCATTATTTCTTCAAATATTTCTTCTGCTCTGTTCTCTTCTTTTTGGTATTTCAATTACATGTATGTCACATATTTTGAAACTGTCTCACAATTCTTGGATATTCTGGGTTTAAATTTTTTTAAATTCTTTTTCTTCTCACATTTCAGTTTGTAAAGTTTCTATTGACATATATTCAAACTGACTTATTCCTTCCTTGGCCATAGGCAATCTACACATGAGCCAATTAAAAGCATTTTTCATTTCTGTTAGTGTTTTTGGTTTCTAACATTTCCTTTTGATTCTTTCTTAGGGTTCCCCTTTCCTCTGTTTATTGTTAATCTGTTCTTGCATGTTTCTACTTTCTCTCTTAGAGCCCTTAGCATATAAGGTTATTTCGGATTCCATGTGTCATAATTCAAAAATCTGTGTCATATCTAAATGTCGATCTGATGCTTGCTTTATCTATTCAGACTGCTTTTTCTTGTCTTTTACCTTACCTTGCATTTTGTTGTTGTTGTTGAAAGCCAGACATGATGTACTGGGTAATAGGAACTGAAGTAAAGAGACCTTTAGTGTGAAATTTTCTGTTAATCTGTCTAGGTGTTGGGTTGTGTTTAATATTTACTGTAGCTGTAGGTCAGAGAATTCAACTTCCTGTAGTGTCCTTGTTTTAATCTCCCCCGGTGTCTAGGTTTCCCTAAATCTCCTCTTCATATAGAGCCTATGTCTTGCAGTTCTCTCAGCTATGATCCTCTATTATCATCCTGGAGCCCTGTTGATGTGTGATAGTAAGCGGCCGGGGAAGGGAATATTATTAAATGCCTTTTAGCGGGCATGTGTTCCTGGGTTTTGATGTTCATGAGCATTTCTAATTGTTTCCTCTCTTTCTTTCTTTTCACTCTTTAGAAGAGACAGGAAGGCTAGAGGGAGCTGGAGTTGGATAATTTCCCTTCTCCCACATGGGATAAGACTCTGGTAGTCTTTTCCTCTGCTGAGTAAGCTCCTGTTATGGAGAACATTCAGGGGATATTTCAAAATGCTTTCAGAATTGTTACCTTTTTTCCCATTCCTACACTCCCCCACCAGAAACATAAGCATTTTTCATGGCTCTTTACTTTGAGAATCTGGCAGGGTTCCTATAGGTAAAACCCATGAATATGTGGAGGTCCCCCTAATATAGTGACTCTAGGAGGTTCTCACTCTCGTGCTAGCCCACATGCATCCTCTACCAACTTGTCAAAGTGTCATTTTAAGTGTTCCTACCAGTTTTGGCTTCAGTGGCTTCTGCTCCAGGTAAGGTGACTTCAACTACAATTCTCTGCATTTATCCTCTCTGAAGATTTTGGAGAGTGGTTTGCTCTGCAGCCTCAATCCTCTAATGCTCCAAGGAAAGTCTGATTTTCAATTTGTTCAGCTTTTTGCTTCTTCTCAAGACTGCAGGGATGACTCCCAGGCTCTTTAAATGTTGGAGCTGGAAGCAGAAGTTACCCCTCAAAGGATGAATCTTTATTTTCGTATTCCTTTTCTAACATTTCTCAATGAGTTTGTTTGGGTCAGAGAGATACCTGAGTCGGGAAGTCCAA